TAATATGTGGAAGTAAACAAACACTAACATGAAAGTAGAAAAGACACTATTATGAGACAAGAAGTAGAGAGTAAGGGGCAGCGAGAAGAGGGGATAAGAGAGGGGAATGAGGGAATGAACATAATAAAAAAGACTCATTAAAATCCAGTATTTTATAAAATTAATAGGCACTTAATAAAAGAAAAAAGAATGCAAAAAAATTATAAAGGTGTTATGGTATAGCAGAAAGAAGTCAGAAGACTTTGGTTATAAATCCTAGCTCTTCACTTATTAGCAAGGGCATAACTTCTCCACAATTTCCTCATCTGAAAAGTGTGGCTAAAAGCCCCGGGTGAGATATCAGTTCTAAAACATCATAGAAACAAAAAGTTGAAAACTTTACTCCTAACACCCTCAGCAAAAAGTTACTATTTCATTTATTAAACTTTCATTTTAATATCTTCCTATCACTAGGTAAAACTAAAATTAGAGAAGCACAGAACATTTTTGTCCTATTCTTGTCGTTTATTTAGGAAATATCTTTTCACATTTCTATAAGACTTTATTTTCAAATAATTACAGAATATCCCAGCACAGTGGGCAAGGTCTCAACTAGCTTATTTGGAGCCTAGAGAACTAGGAAAAGGGCACAGCTTCTGAGAAGGATTAGCCAGAGGCCCTCCTGTACATAGAGCTGTGGGCAGAGGGCTTAGCAAACAGGGCTTCCCCTTACAGGGGATAACAGGGGATAACTTACACAAGCAGATGTAGACATGCTGATAAGCAAGAAGGATATGTACTGGGGTAGGGAGTGGGGGGAATCTTCCTATAAATAAACAGAACAGTACAAACTGGAGTGAAGCCACCTTAGTTCATAGTCCACCTCTTTCACATACTGTTTGATCTCAGACAAGCTGCTGAACCCCTACAGCCAACTGTGGTAGCCACCTCAAAGAGCCACTGTGAGGAATACCCACAGAAGTTCTTAGTCCCCAGCACACATTTGTCATTCAATAACTTTTTCTCCCCAGTAAAACTTATATTAACATTGTCTACATCTTTCTGCCACTTAAAAAGTACTTTAAAAATTTCATCCGTAAAAAACATTACCAAAAGGAACAGGGTTGCTGTGTTAAAATGTATAAACAAGAACCTAAATTTGAACTCTTTATCCCCCAACAAATCCACTGATTATACAGATCTGGCAAGTAAACTTCAGATGATGATTCCTGAAATGCTATTCCACTAAAATGATAGTTCTAGGAAAAACAGCAAAATCTGATTTAGGGAGGGTGTAAGAAAAATATGAGCAGTGGTTAGTAATCACAGGCAAAGTGATCTTGGTTCATTCAGCCCAGGGGCTAAGAGTCAGCCAGGATGATCTACAAAGCTCTTCCAGTGTGATCATGTGTGATCCCCTCTCTCCACGCTATCATTTCCCACTTTCATCATCTCCCTCTTTCCCAAACATCCCTGATCTCTGACAAAAGGTTTTGTCATCATGTGCCCAGTGCTCCACCTGGAGTACATTTTCCTCTTCCTGAGAACCAGCTGTGGCCATCACTGAAAAAGACCCAGTTTAAATTGTTCCTTCTTCTAGGGCCCAGGTTGGTACTCTACCACTTCCTTTAAAAACTTAAGTAACTTGCTTGTTGTCTAAGTAATTTCAATTACTAGTCTTGAAATGCTATTAGGGCATTCACATTGATCATATAAATTTTTAACTACTTTCTCTTGCATCTGAAATAAGACAGCCTTGGTCCTCACGGATTAAACATGCATACACATGCATACAGTGTATCACTTAACTCAGATCTGTAGTTACATTGGCAGAAATTTATGACACCTGGAGATACAAGAGGCTCTAGAGACAAGACAACTGGGCTCTTCTCAAGATCTATAATCTTCCCTCTGGCCAAACTGTCAAATGTATGATAATTCAAAACCCAATCGTTGACACAATTCAAGATATATGTCCAGTTATAAAATAACTAATAAGTGATTTTAAATAATTAAAAAGTAAAGTATAAATACAAGGAATAGACTGTACTAACATTAGGTTTTTACTTAAAAACCTATGTCTTAGAAGAGTGTTGTTCCTTTTTTTCTTCAAGACTCATTTATAAAACATTTTAAAGTTCCTGAAGTCCCACCTTTTCTTCCAAGTTTAAGCAACCTTTTTACCAAGAATTATCTAGTTAAGATTACTATATCTATGTATTATCTGGAGATTAAGAAGGGACTGAAGTCTCCATTGGATATAGAGACTTTTACTAATTAAACAAAGCTATCAGAATAAACCATCTTTACAGAACACAAATAATCCTTTTCTCATCAAAAAAATATAGTAAGAATACAATATACCCTAATGGGTTAAAGTTTTAAAGCAAGGAATCATATTATGATAACAGAGTGTATATGTGGGTAAAAGACAGTGGACTTTATCCCAGAACAGTGTAGGCATTAACAATGTTATAACATGAAGAGCAGTCACAGACCCCGTCACCATGCACTAGCAGCCATCTTGGGTGCCATTTTTACTGTGACCTACAAGATGTTCCAGTCTGAAGCCTCATCATCAGTGAGCAAACTAATGCTGCTCCAGAGGCCATAGGAGGAGAAGCAGCTCTGGTGGCATTTGAACTCAAGATACTCAGGCAGAGAAACCAATCTGGCAGGGATGTAAGAGATGAACAGAACCAGAGTGAGAGGGTACAGCAAGATGGACAAAGCAAGGAAGGACAAAGTAGAGGAGGCAACCAGAAATGAGAGGTTGAATCAAAAATAAGAACAACAAAAAGAAATCCAAAACAGTAAAGGTAGTGTGGAGAGGAGAGAAAGAAAGGAGAGGAGGAGGAGGAGAAGGAAGAGGAAGAAAAAATGTAAACAATCTTTGAGTATATGAAAAGCAACACGTACCACATGCCTTACATCTGACTGCTGCATTTATATGTAACAGATGCTATCCAATGACCAAATACAGAAATAAAACCAGGCACAAATCCATGAACCACAAATGTTGAACTACCACTGATACACACTGTTTCAAAACAAAAACAAAAGTCAAAGCTTTGAGTCACTAAGTGGAACAAAAACTGTCCTATTGACTTCCTTTAGTTACTAAAATCATGAAACATGGTCAAGTGTAATTTCAATGCTCCCCCTCCCCTGACCTGAAGGTGTTAAAACACAAAACAGAAGACTGCTGTGCTGGTTTCTTAGTGGGTCATTTTTGAGCAACCTGCCAACCAGAAATTCACACAGTTCCTGTTTCTCCAGGTACCATTTCCACCCAGTCTGCTTCCACATTTTCAGTCTGTTTTCCAATGGAAAATAAATGTTAACAGTATATATACAAACCAGTGCACAGTACCCCAGGCTCATTTTTTACGTCCCTGCACCCAGCCTTCATGGTCCCAGAATCACAACCTTCTTTGAGCCTTGATACTTCCTTGATCCTTCCACTATACCACAAATATAACTCCTGGAAAAAGATTTTGGTAATTTTTATAAGGTGAGATAGTAATCAGAAAATATGCTTGTTAGGTGGTAGCTGGCTGATATATGGTACTTTGTAACTAAGGAATGACAGAAAATCAAACTAAAATATACTTTGTAAACTAAACCCCTTACATTCAGTTAAACATTGAACTAGTGGTGAGAATTTCTATTTGAGCAACAAGGTGACTATGGAATTCTTCAAGCACAACAGGACTTTCTCCAACGTCCACATATTCATGTGCGCATCTGTAAAGCTGATGCAGACTGGCTCGTTATATAGTGCTTGGACCCTCAAAATAGCAGGAGGTGGAGTGAAATACTGTCCCTTAATTGATTTTGGAATCAATTAATTCTAAATCCATTAGCATTTTCAGCACTTTGTAACAAGGAAAATTTAAATGGTTTGTTGGAAAGCATAATCAAATATCAAACACTTCACCAGAACTGAACTTCATTATAGAGAATGTTTTAAATTTCCATGACCAAACCCAAGTCAAAGGGATAAGAGATAATTAAAAGGCATCAAATCATGAAATCTGAAAGGTATTAAAGTCTCATATTTTCTAACAACTCTACTACAATGATCCAAAAATGGCTTTGAAATGGTTATTTCAAATACAACAAAAATTTCCTTTTGCCTGATCATGTCAGAAATACTTGAGATAAAATTTTTAAGCCACAGAAACTAAACAATATATTGCTAGACTTTGTATCAAACTCATAGACCATAGAAAGCTTAGTGAATTTGCTCTAGATATCTCCAACTTGTTTGGAGAAGAGGTGACTTAGCTATTAATGGACAGTTAGCTCCAAATGCAGTGTGTAGCAAGTTTGAGAAGCTCAAAACTATTTTCTCAATTTCTGAACAGTCATAGGTATGAGTGAATGAACAACTCCAGCAAAATTTTACACCCTGAATCATTGTAAGTAGTAAGCACTAATCCTCCATTAGCCTGGGGATATTTCAGTCAGGAGCTATTCAACAGGGAAATCCTAGGAGGAAATGCAAGGTTGACAACTGAAGCACATCTAACCAAAGAAACTGTCTAAAGATATCTCATTAATTAAAAAAAAAACTCCCTCTAGCCTTCTGCAGCTATCACTGAGCTCCAAGTAGAAGAGGGCAGCAGAAAGGCAGGAAGAACAGAAAGCAAAGAGGCCCACTCTGTAGATGCTTAGATCTCAGTGTTGCCTCTATGCTACAAACAGTACCTGCATCACAGTGTCAGCACTCACTGTGTTTCAGACATTTGTCTGCTGTGAGACTACTCTGTTAATCCTTTGGCAGAAATGTCTCACCTCCTACGCTGATTCAAGGTATGGTGTTTCCAGATAGCTAAAGAGTACGGGCCAATGGGAGGATCCATGAACTCCAAAAGAAACTTCCACTTTAGAGTCATCCGAAGTGAAACTGCTATGTGGCGAGATGCACTGATACACCATCCAGAATCAGCAGAAGAAGGGGATCCAGCTGTCCTAGTACACCCTACTGCAGGTTCATTCTGATCAAAGGCACTTACCGCAGTGCAGAGTGTCTTCCTGAGCGGGACACGCTGTTGCCCACAGGTGAGGGCAGGTTGCTCCCTCTGTGCAGGTCCTCAATGGACCTACTCCAGGGCTTTGATTTGTCCACTGAACTCTCCACGGTACTTTCCACACTTTCAAAGTCAAAACTACAATAAAAGAAGAATGCTGCTGAAAATTTTTTAAATTCACTTTCACATACATACATGGATATACACCACTTGCTGTCCCCCTAATACATGTACACTCTAGAAGTCTTTGCAAAGGAAACTAAAAAGGATATTAAAAAAAAAAAATTTTGTGTCCACATACTCAGGGTTAGCTTCAAAAACATAAGATGGCAAATACTGGGCCTGACAACAGAATCACAGAGCAATGAACAGCAAAAATTAAGTAGTGATGCATTATTTATATTTTACTATAAGGCTTGCTAACTTACCAGTTGCTAACACTGCTCTGGTAGAAGGTGGGAAAAGATCGTAACAGCTGTCTTCGTTTTGCTTTAACAAGTCAATATGTTAGGTTTATACTAATGTATTCTACCCATCAATTTTCACTGAGTATTTTCTCCTAGTGTGTTGGCAAGTATACTTTTCCAACCATATGTGATACATTACTAGTGAAGTTAAAGATTCGCTTTGATTTTGGACTCTCTTCCCAATGTGGTACTCTTTAAAGTAAGACTGTTGTTTCTCTGACATTTTTGAGGTTATTACTCATGTTAACCATGTTAGAATAAATGGCAGGTTGAGTTGCTCCCTCTTCTATAGTTTTAGGAGCCACAATTTTAAACACACAGGCTTTTGTGCTCCATGCATTTTTCCTCTTGCAGAAAATAGTAATTCTGCATTTTCAAAAAAAGATTGTATTCATCATTTCTACACACAGTACTACTATGTAACACCTGATTGGACTGCAGAACAAACAGAAGGCAACTACAATTATCCTTTGGAAGACTTTAGAAGATCTTTCAAAAGAAAACAATGATGCATATTAGAAATTACCCATGATTTTTTAATAAAAATATAATGCCAAAATGAAATGCCATTGGAGTAGTTATTGGAAAACTCCAGTGACACTGCCCACCTATTAAAGCCTAATCAGAATGCAGATACAGGTGCACATATCCAGTGCAGGTTTGTCATGTCCTAGGCTGCAGGAGAGAACACTGAACAGAAAGGACACACCATGGGGTAACCTAAACAACCTGAAGCACAGAAAATAGAAGGCTACAATCAAGAGTGAAGGAGGTTAAACCAAGACAACACCCCAAGATCGCTCATGGTATCACCATGCTGACCAGGTTCCCTCTGCAGCTTCCATGTAATTCAGCCATTTACGCACACACATCCCTTTCTGCCTATTCCCACTCTCACCACAGAAAAAGGGAAGGTGCAGCTTAGTGAATCCTCTGTTTCACAGCCTCACACTACAAAGGCTGGGAAATTGTCACATGACAAAGAATAGCAAGAAAATTTAAGGTCCACTAGTTTCGAGGTAAAAGACAATTTATAAGCAAGACCTTCAAGTCCAAGCCAAAATAAACATGATAAACCTAAACTACACTAGTAGGAAACAAGAAGGTTGAGTTCTGATCTTTTGTTGGCTACTGTCTTATATACTACAAGAATCTCCACATAGTACCACAATATGTCCCCATTGATTCTATGTGAGGGTACACTCGGGAAATCTGGTTTGAAATTCAATTATCATGCAGGTAAAGAACTCATTATAGCAAGTACAGAACATATAACACAGTATTCTTCTCCAGTAATCCTGACTTTTCTTAGTTCTCTCCTCCATTCTAGAAATAGTCTCTAGACCCTAAAATATGCAGTGAGGCATGTTACTACTGTGTTTGATCATACAACATGAAGCATAAGAAAGATTATATGGTTTTTATGCAAAGGATAGGTAAAGTTTGGAAGAACATGCCATAAAAACTAGATTATATTTCAGAGTACAACTTAACAGGAAGATATGACCTTATCTGTTGGAGTTGTGTGGTTTTTTTTTTTTAAGTCCATTCCATTTAATACTTGAGAGGTATGAAAACAGAAACTCCGCAAGCTTGTTGCAGCTAACATTTCAGTTTCTGCATCCATATGATAAGAATAATTATAGTTTTCTCCTTACAAATTCTTGAGGAAGTGGCAGGGATTTTAACATTATACCTGGTTAGGTCTTAGGACTGTTTTGAAGTTAAGCAGCATAAAAATCAAGTTACAGCATTTATAGAATAAAAGAAGAAAAAAACACCACGTGGAATGCAATAGCTCCCAGTCAAATTATAATCATAGTGTCACTGCCTCAGTCTGCAAAGAAATGGCCATATCTGTAGGAGTGGAACATTTTTGATTAAAGGAGAAAATTAAGAGGAGAAAACCTCAGTCAAATGTATACATTCCAGCCCTGCTCTAAACCATGTAAGAAGCCAAGAAAATGGGAGAGATTGATGAAATAACAAAAACAAAGTTAAATATGTAGGGCTTTCCCTCTTCTACTCCTCTACTCTATCCTGCCCCCAGGTCATAGGCAGAAAATTGAAACAATACAATACATGTGGAAATAAAAAAGAAAAGCCTCTGTTTGCCTTTTCCTCCCAGTGTCCACTTCTGCAATCATTTTCTATGCATCTATTAGAGAGCGTACACGTATGTTTGTGTGTACACACTCTTGCAATGGTGGAGACTGAATCCAAGTTCTTGACCATGCTAAGCAAGCACTCTATCACTGAGCTACATCACTTAGCTACAACCTTTTTAAAATAAAAGGATAGGAACTTAGGATGCAGTTCAGTAGAACTAAAAATGAAGGCTTGCTAAGGGTGACTTTTACTTACCTGTTTTATTTCTGCCTTTTTAAAGGCATATCTTGTAACACTTCAGTGACTGTTTCAAGTTAGACAAGCAAAAATAAACCTCTTTAAGGCCTCCCACATCTTCTTGATGGAGTGTATAATTTTACCACTAAGCTATAGCTTCTATAACCACATGGAATTCAAATGCAAGCAACCCAAATTTTACTTACGTTACTGCATACTGTGCAAATGACAGATATTCTACTAGAACATCAAGGCCTTTGTTTTCTTCATTCAAAAACTCTCTGACCCATCTGTTGGAGGAAAAAAAAATTGAGGCAGTTCTTTAAATGACCTAAAAAAGACATACTGGAAAGTTTTGGTTTTCCCCAGAATAACATCCAGTGCCTGAAAAGAAACACAGAGAAAGGCCTAGACCGCTACACAAGAGGTAGGAGCTTGCAGAGATGATAGGAACAAACCACAAAATCTCAGTGCACAAGGAGCAAAAAGTGCATGTGTGCCACCCTGTACTTTACTGTTTAGGAGACTCAGGATAATCCATAAAACACTTCCTAGGAAAAGAAACTTGCTAAATGTACATTTTCTACCACAAATGATCCATCCACAGCCCACTAGCTGAAGGAGCCAAGACTGCACAGAGCATGAGGCAGACTGGGGTCTATGACGCTGCAACCACTAAAACTCAAACATGCCTCCAAATCCATGCTAAACTTCTTGGCACACTAAGCTGAAGAAACCACTAAGCCAGCCAATGAGAGGCCAGTGTTTATGGGCTCCTGGAAATTCAATAGGGATAATGATTTGCATAATTTTTCCATGGATGTTAAAATCTCTTAAAAGGCTACAAACACTACAGACCATCACCAAGGACAACGCATGACAAACATTTGTTAGATGATTCATTTTTAAATAATATTACTTTACATTTGAATGGTACTTAACAGTTCACTGAGATGTTTACACACTTTTATATACTTTCCATAACAGCTCTGGTAGGGTGGTCAAACAGCATCTTTACATAGGTACTGTATATTCTACTGATTTCCTACAGTGCATTCATCTTTGATGAATAAGCAGTACACCTGTATTAAACCTTCACTCCAAGTGAAACTCCAACAAGTAAGTAAAAGATCAGCTACTATCACATGAGGCAGAGGTGCCAGTGGTGGCTTTCCTCCCTGAACACCACGCCGAAAAGTCTGAACAGCTCTGGACATAACAGCTGCTATGAAAGTCCATCTTGCCTGCTATTAAATGGCAGCAAGGACAGTCCTACCATGTGTCCTGAAGGATGCTAAACCGTTTGAGATTTTGTCTTAAACGATGAAAAGATCTAATCGAGTCAAAACGTCATTTAGGGAGGATGGGGGGGTTGTTTTATCTTCAAGCTCATAATTTCTCCCAGTCTCATCATCTCCATGATGTAAACTCTGGTCTGCAGGACTTCTAGGAGGCAGAAAAGTGGGAAATTAGAGAGCTTACTTTGTGTTTTCCCTCAAATGCCTCTGACTACCACAGAATGTACACGCTTAACACAGCTGGCTGCAGACATACAATCTTTAAGAGAAACGCAGAGTGGCAACATTGGCAAAGAAAACACCATCTGTTAGACCCAACAAAGTGGCTTTGTTATGAGACCTAAACACAAGGAACAGGGCTGCTTGCTGATAAGGCTAAAGTTTCCAAAACAGCCACACACATGATCTTACAACATCCACTTTTAGATATGTATTTTAAATAATTCCTATGATGCTAGGTCTCAGAGACATTGAACAGTCTTACACTTCAAAACAGTAAAATATACATATTTTTATTATTGGCAAGAGACCTTTGAGGCTGCAACTCTCTACTGATATCAGATGACTAGCTGTTCACACTCAGGAACCTGAGCTTCTCTGAGGTCTTCCCACTGGTCTGGCCATAAGCTGTGATTGCACAAAGCAAACTGACCCTTGGTATAGGGTATTGACTTAATACAAAAATAATAACAAAGGTCCAGAAGTTTCAGGGAAGTCTCAGTTTCACATCTTCTATCTCAGCTGCTCACTAATTCAGAAGCTGAGAAAAACATCCATGAAGCTCCTCCGAGGTGATTCTTCAGACATTGCCTCCCAAGAATACAGGTCATTTCAACCACGAGCACCCTCAATCTCACTTAGGATATTCAGTCACAAAAAGGGTAAGAGGACATTGGTCCAGGTGAATAAAATGTAAAAATAAAAGTCAGTAGGAAATAGACAAGTAAGTCAGGCTAAATTCCCTTGACTCACAATGCTTTGATGCAGGGATAAAGATTAATTGGTTTATCTTCACTTCGAAATCCTCATGGATGCCTCCATTTCTCCTTGCTGATTTTGAGGGTCTTCAGGACATTTTCCATGTGAAAGGTAGGAGCCTGATGCATCTGTCATTAAGAGCCAGCTAGGGAGAAAAGGCCCTTCCTCTGCTTTAATTTCGTGAGTGAATGTGTGCTTCTAAACTGCATGGTTCTCAATGGACATTTGATGTGACCCTGTCACTGTTACATCAGCTTATAAAAGACATGTCAGCAATAAGAATATGGATTATAAGAGAAAGGCAGCCCTCACTCCAGCCCTGTCCTCCTGGCCCCTGTTCCTTATCTGCTTAGGACGTTCTCTATTAAAGAGAATAGCTGAGAGAGCCCATCTGTGTAAAAGAAAAAGTAAAGAAAGAAAATAGGCAAACATAAAACCGGCAACTTCAAATGCAGTATCTTGAATCTAAAGGCATTAAAAGAAGATGAATCCTTCATTTTGCAGATTTATGTATTTGAATCATGCAATGACTATCATATTTCATGTTCTTGGAGTAAATTATTTCCATTTTCATCTCTGTGCATGCTATGCACCCTTTAATATGCTGCCAATAGGCAAATGGTTTCAAATTGAGTGATTATAAGTTTTGGAAAATGGAATTATTTTCTGACTCTGAGAGCCTACACTACTTCCTGAGAGCCTCACAGATTCATGTGTAATTACCATATGTTGTAAATCTGAATTTAGGCAAATTCCAAATCAGATGCTTAAAAGCTGGAAGACAGTGATAGTGAAAAATAGTGCTGGAAAAAACCTGGACTCAAAGAAAAGATGTCAGTATTCACTGCTAAACTGTAAACTGCTCAAAGCTTTGCTTCAGAGGTTTTTGGTCTGACTGCCTCCCCAGTTCTTAGGACCTCTATGTTCTCACTGAAACACTGAGTCTGAAGGGACCCTGCTGGCTTTCTGAGATCAAGCAAAACAGCCAAAAGATGTACAAGACAAAGGGTCAAAAAATGAATTCCCTTTGCAGATCCCCTTTAAAGTGAGATCTTATGGACAGATATAGGAAATGAACTTGCTGAAAAATCATGGAAAAAAAAGAGAAAGATAAGCATCACCAAATTCAACACTAGATACTAAATCTGTTAGGCAATGTTGTAAACTGATTCTCAAAGCACACTCCGTTTATCATTAAGGGTCTCTCAAATTCCCTCAGGGCATCTGTAAGGATAAAACTATTTTCATTAAAATAGTAAGTTGCGCTCTTTTTACTCTGTTCACATTTACTCTAACATTCGTACTATAAAAAATAAAACAAAAATAAAATAAGAGCAAAATTGCTGCCACCAAAGAGTATACCTATTGTATTGTTCACCCCCTGCAATCAGAAAAGGAATTTTTTTTTAAAAAAGCCAGACTTATTTAAGAACACTCTGGGGGCTGGGGATTTAGCTCAGCGGGGTAAGCGCCTGCCTTGCAAGCAGGCGGTCATGAGTTCGATTCCCGGTACCGATAAAAATGAAAAAGATTTAAGTAATAAAAATTACTGGTTTATTAAAACTTGATTTTGAGTATATACCTTTTCAATTTTCGGTGTGACAAAGAAGCTTACAGAAAACACTTCTGCTGCACACACAGGTATCATGGTTATTTCGAGGAAAAGCACTCGGACAACTGTTTGGTCACAGCTGAACTAGCCACTGCTTGTTGTACCAAGGACTGGACCCAAGGTCTTCATAGTAAATTATACCCCAAGCTCTTGTTTATTTTATTGTCCATGCAGGGTTCATTCTTGCCATTATCCTGCTCAGCCTCCCAGAGTGCTGGGGTTACAGACATCAGTCACTACCCCCAGCTCACCTTCCTATATAGACTGCCAATTTACTTGTAAAAAATGACTAATAAACTGTGGTTATACTGTATGGGATAACTGGAAAATACTGATAATATATGCAGTGAGTCTGTCATTTCAGGGAAAATAACACAATATTTGTGAACAATAACAAAATTTGATCATTGAAGCAAAAATAATTCTAGGAAACCTGCATGCAACACCAATTTGATGGCTCCCAATACTTAAAAAGTATGCTCTGATGAGACTGGTGATTGTTAACAACTGTGATTAAAAAAAAAAAAAAACACACACAGAACAACATGTTCCAACACGTGAAAGAACAGAATAATCTCAGGGCAACAATGTTTTCTAAATGATTAATGCATGAGGCTGACAAATCATATCACAAGATCTACAGGTAAAAATACATTTATCTATCCATATGCATTCAAAGCAAAGATGACACAATGGATTTTTTTAGCATTCTTTTTTAAAACATTTTTTGTTAGTACATATTTGCCATACATAATAATCACATTCATCACAGGGAATTGTAGCAGTACACAATTTGTCTTAATTCTTCTTTTTTAAGCATTTCCTTCCCCTCCTCTTTCAACCAGTTTTTCTCCCTCCCCATTTACAAAAGCTTTGTTTCCAAGTTTTCCCTTCCATTCTCTTTGTAATCCCTTTCAGTTCCTTCTTTTCCCCTGCCCTCTCCCTTGTTCTCTTTGCATTTCACAGTGAATTTTAACATACTAGAACACAGAAAGTTCACTGATAGTGTTGTGGTTTAAACAGGAAGTGCCCCCAGTCTCATGTGTTGAATGAAGGGTCCATTTCCCAATGTAGCAATATTCAGAGGTAGAGTCTAAAAGGTATCTGCGTCTTGAGGGTACTGACCTCACTGATGGATTAATACACTGATGAGTTCACGCTGAATGGGCATGTCAGACAGAAGTAGGTCATTCAGGGGCATGCCACTGAGGGGTACATCCTGTCCCTGGTCCCCTCCTTTCTCTCTAGTTTTTTCTCTCTCTGCTTGGTGGCAATTCTGCCTTGAAGCCTTGTCTGTGATCACACAGACAAAAACTTCTAAAACCATAAACCAAAATAGACTTTTCCTCCTTTAAGTGGCATATGTCAGGTATTTTGTCCCACCCATGAAAAGCTGACTGATGTGATGTAGTTTCAGAATCCACATTACAACCATATCTTTAAAAAATGATTACTGCTTGTTGAATTTTGCTTATACTATCAAAAAAATCCACAATTATAAAAAAAACTTAAAAATTCCTTTTTCTAAGGAATTTTCATCTTAAAATCCAAGTTTTCTTCATATACATAAAAATAATATGCAGTATCAACAAATCAAATGTAAACACAGATAAGAGAATCTAGCTGTCTTCTATTCGCCAAACACTAAAGAGATCTACCAAGGTTTTTTCTAAAAACCTACTCCTGTCAATCATTTTGAGAAGTTACATTTTATGAAACAATATCAAAATATTTATTTTATATTTATATGAAGTAAATGTTTATTAAATATTGTCATTAAATGAATAATTTAAAATTTACTAATTTCAAGTCTAGTATATGCATAGATACAACCAACATAAACAAAAGCTTACTGAGTTTAAAAATAGATGATTTAATAAATAAATTTATTTATTAAAAATAAAGAGTATCAAGGAATCTTGATACTAAAAAAATCTGAGCTAAACTGGCTTGAATAATGAGACTTAAATTTGGGCATATCTAAGTTCAAATATCAGCGCTTCCAAGTGGTGTAAAATCAAGTAAGACCCTTAGTAGGTACCCTTCAGTATTCTCGCCATGAAATGAATGAATGAGTCCCAGGACAGCCAGACAGACTCACACACCCATACATACTGCATACACCTTAAGAGCAGCCCTGGTTACTCTCCAGCATTTCATTTCACCTGTTAGCCTGGTCCAGCCAGTACTGATTTCAGCAAGGCCTGGCAGTCCAAGGGAAAAGATGCTTGCTAAGCAGTTCCTCGGCTCCTTTTGTACAAATCTTTCCCCTCCCTGCCAAGTTATCACAAGCCTCTCAGAACTGCATCCCTGGTTTTCTAACACCCCATAGGATAAAGTGAAATGAGCACCTTTCAGAACTTCTGTGACCTTGTGCTCAGGATGAAAAGTAATTTTCCATCATTATAGGCAGTTTTACTTAAATAAATTGCCTGCCAGACAGATCACTTATACTCCACATCTACACAGTGAAGCCAGTAAATCTATCCAGCTCACTCATACTGACATTTGAATCCTATGACCCTGATATCCAAAGCATCGTGACATCTTCCCACTCACATGTTCCTCAGTGCATTTTAACAGCGCTTGGTTCATTTCAAGGGTATTTCAAGTAATTTCAGGGACTTGGATAAGTCATAATCCAATTCCTATCTACTCTTATTGTTCCTAAGAGTGAGTGAATGGGATTATGTGTAGCCCAAGCCTTATTTCAATTTGGCTCAAAGAAAATTAATTTTCTTTCTTGGAAGATTGCTCCATTTATAGAGTTTTAGGCTTATATCAAAACTCAGACCAAACCCGTTGCTTGACAAAGCTATAGTTTAGAGTGTTATCTCAGAGAAGCTCAATAACCTTGAAATGCAAGCATGTGCCAAGAATAATTTTTTCAGGACAAGTAGATTTTTATAATGCAATCCCCCCTTTTCATTTCTGGGAACCACAATCTTCAAAATCCCCTATGTGTTAGGGTCATTTTAGATGAAGAAAGTAATATTCTCTGCATAAAATCCTTTATATATATATATATATATATGACTGTAGAATTGTTAGGATATTATTTGTCACAAGACTAATGTGGATTGATAACTGGTGGTCAACTAGTAACACCAGCTGGACTGAATCAGCATGGTGCCGAGCATGGATGATCCAAGAGGACTGAAACAGACTTGCATGACTGTCTGGGCTCTAGGCCTTCAGCTGCACTCATAGTGAGGCATTGTTATGGGTTCTAGGTCTTCAGCTGGACTCATGCAGGACACTGCCATGGGATCCAGGCCCTCAGCTGGATACTCTGGGTCTCTGTGTAGACAGATTTCCTGAACTGTCTTTTGTATTTGACTCTTTGGGTGACCACTGTAAAATAATACTGTAAATTATGTGTCCTGCATTGTCCTATTTTCCTTGCAATGACGGACTATAACACCTAGCAATAAACAATAGATACCATATATTGAGTAACTACTATATATCTGACCCTCAATGAGATCATTTTTAAGATCTCATTTAAACTTTACAATGCTCCCAAGAGCTAAGTATAAGTGCCCAATTTTATACAGGAGAAGCTAACTTAGGTCACATGGTAAGTGCAGACCATTTCTGTAGATTACATAAGGTCAAACAACTAAAAGGAGCATAGCAAAAGTTTACATCAAGATCTGCTTCCGTGAAACAAATGGGCATCCAACTCCCTATCAGCTTACCTTAAACAGTAAAATAAAACATACAGATCTCTTATATAGCACCTTGCCTTCCATAAATTTCCCATGGTACTGATTAGTTTTATCATTAAGTAATTCTTCAGAAGAGTTCCCAATTAAATGACATCAAGTCAGTTAGTTTACATAATAAAGAACGCAGGGCTTAAGTTTATGGATGGTCAATATAAAATCCTGGTGTGTGGTTTTATTCCATCAAAGTTTATGCCAGTAATTGGTTGCATACACCAGACAAGGCATCTCCATAAATTCTTCTACAGCTAAAGCTAAAGCTTTCTCAGAGTGTCTCACATAAGCTGTTGGCAAAGGAAAACTTTAGTTGGTGTAGATGAAAGAAATACAAGAATCTTTCAGCCTGTCTACGGTATCCTATACAACGAACCACTCCAATTGCTTGCAGACTGCACTGGCTTCAACCCAACAAAGACTCTTCTACTCAGCCAACTTTGGATTGAAAATGATCATTTTGTTTTGGTATTTGATGGTCAATTTCACATTATTTCAGCAATGCTTAAAGAAGTGCTTTTTGACAATTTGTAGAAATCCTGGCTGAAATTCACCCCACCATTTTCAGTTAAGAAGCACCAAGACAGGGGGTTGGGCTATAACAACTAGAATCTCATTTCTGATCCATAAACATTGGAAAATATTTCAGTTTCCTAAGTATGGATGCCCAAGTGCATTAAACTACCACCACTTTCACCCTCAATAGACAAGCTTCAGATCTTTGATTCAAGAACTCTGATTATCTTAATTCTTTTCAGAGAAAGAGCTGCCAAGGTAAGCAATTCAGAAGACGGTACAGAGAATTTAAGCCAAAGCACCTGGCTCTACAGCTGTAGACTGTGTATGATTCACTCACCATCTCTGGTCCTTACTCTTTGTATCTGTAAAGTGAGGGATTAAGCAATCCTTAATTTCACTTCCAATTCTAAAATTATGACTACATGAACCATTTTGCTACAGTCCAATTTTGGGGGACAAAGGCAAGGAACACTTCATTTTCTGAAGACTTGGTTCTCAAAGTGGCAAGCCTACAAAGTTACTCTTCAGGAAATGAACATTCTCACCCAAATGTTTTACTGTTGTTTGTTTGTTTTTTTGGCAGAATATAGGTGAGTAGTACTGGGAGTGAACCCAAAGCTTCATGCACTCTTACCACTGAGCCACTCCCCCAGACATACCCAAAAGCTTACTCTAACTGGGTTAATTAACCATCTGAAAGGCTTATACTAGACACAGTCTAAAGCAGAAGTAAAATATTATCTATGTAATATATTTGACTCTGTAAAATTATAATTATGCATACAGAATTTCATTTTTGACTGACATGCAAAAGTTATCATAGAACATTCTAAAAGACAAAACACTATCTATGGCCCTCTCATTGAAAAATCTGAGAATGGGCACTTCTTACATAACTAAAGCCATAAAACAGGATATCTGATATCATTGTGTCTTTCAGATGAACCCTCAGTATTTTAAAGTACTGCAATTATACCATCCCAGTAGTGAGAAAGAATGTAATAAAGCTCATTCTTTCCTTAGGCAAAGCACCCGTGTTGTTGTATCCAAGAAACCTTCAGAGCTGCTCAGTTCAGAGATTCCCTGAACATGATTTCTCACCATGGACTTACATTTTATGGTCCCAAGATTAGAGGTGTAAGAAGAGAGATTCAGAATGTGTCTGAGTGCAACAAGACAGGGCAGGTAACATAACTCTACTTTCCATTCCATTCTGGCCAGAAGCTCCAAAGAATTGAGAAAAGGGGAATAGAACAGCTTAAAACTAGCCAGCTTGGAAAACTACAGTGAAGGCTTAAAGACTTTGCAGAATTGCAGACTGACCATACTCTTAAGAACTTCTAACTTGCCAGAGAACTGCTGTGTATATATTCACACAGACACTATCATGAACCCCCACTTCCTTTTTGGCAGTACTGGGAGTTGAACCTAGGGACTTCACACTGAGCTATATCTGCAGTCCCTTTTTAACTTTTTAATTTTAGGGTCTTAATAAATTGTCCTAGATGGACTCAAACTTGTGACCCTCCGCCTCTCGGAATGCTGGGATTATATGCATATGACAGCATCCCTGATTGAATTGCCAGTTTTTATCACATCCAAGGCAAAAAAAAAAAAAAAAAAAAAAAAGTAGAACTATTATAAATAGCCCAGATTGAGAACTCTTCCCTCTTCTAATTCTTGCACACTGAGTAGTTCAAATACTAAAAAAAGAAAATACACTGAATCTCAGTCTTCTTATAGTGACCAATAAGAAGTTTAATTCTTGGATATGATTCATTCACTCTGCAAACTGTCCAAAGACCTTAGAGTTAAGGGGTGAACAAGGCATACTTACCCAATGTGATTTGTTCTTAAAGAAATTTCCAGTTCTCTTAACACTTGTGTAGATTCTTGAACACGCCTTCTGAATTTCTATAAATTTAAGAACACATACTCTCACAAAACAATCGTTTGCAACTGCCACAATTACAGCTCACCCATAGTAAGTGTAATGCAATATAGAAATATCCTTACTTCTAAAGCAGGTGACTTTGACTTTTTTTTTTTTACAACAACACAAATCTTTCTTCTCATAGAAAATTATGATAAAGGACTGGAAAAAATACTTATCTCACATAGCATCTTTGAGTTAAGTAGATAATCTTTTCTACATCATATATTCACTAACATACCTATGAGTTAAAGAGCCCCAAGACTACCTTCAGTTTCAACAATTCCCCAGGAGAACTCAACATGTGGCACTTCTCATGGTTATGATGTACTAGAGCAAAAGAACACAAAGCCGAATCAGTCAAAAAAAAAAGATGCCTGGGATCAAGTACACAGGAATCGAGGTGCAAACTTCCAAAAGGCCTCTCTGGCTAGGAGTCACAGGTGACAACACACATGAAGTTCACTAGGGACTCAGTGTCCAGGATTCTCACTGAGGGTGGCTCAGAGGTTCTGCCTCCCTTGCTTGTGACAAAATTCCACATTTCCAGTAGAAAAACAGGTACTCAGTACAAACCATATTGTTTTCCCCAACAGTTTAGGCACACGGAGCCATTCCTAAGGAATGGTGGGGACCCTCTTAAAATACAGATGCCATCAAGAGCCAAACCTGCAAACAGGCCTAAGAACAGTAGTCTAAGACCTGTTATACCAATGCTTTTCTGTGCAACTTAACACATTCTAAAACAAAAGAATAAGACAATCAGAATTAGCTCTGTCCCCAGTCCTTATGTGGAAGGTCCCTTCCATGATGCATAGTCTCCACTATTTTCCACACACAACTCTTTTGCCTATCAAAATCCTACCTGCCCCTTCAGCACTCCCCTCTCTGACACCTCTCTCCCTGCTCCCCAGCCACAAGTGCAAAGGTAACACAGTCAGCAGCTCCACACCACTGACAATGGCTTCTATGGCTTTGGAGACAGATGACTGAAGACAAAGCAAATGGTGGAAATGGGGATCTCAGAACGTACGGTGGCAAAAGCCATGCCATACATAGGGAGCCCATGGCCCAAAGCAGACTCGGAATCTGCTCAGGACAGTTAGAAAGCCTTTCACTTCCTCACAGTTTCTCTCTAATGCAACTCCCAAAACACCTTTAAAAAAAGACGTTCTTTCATTTTTAGAATATAGATGTAGTAGGATATGGGAAATAACAATATCCCTAATGTGACAAAAGAAAAAAGAGAGAGAGGGTCCCATTTTCTGCAGGGTCTTTCATGATTTGAAGGCCCAAAGTTTCCTGGACAGTCTTCCTGCAATGAGGCTGGGCAACGCAGCACCTGGCAGGAAGGGGACACAGGCAGGATGGTTAAAGGGTCTGCTCACTCTTTAAACTCTTCCCATGGAGGAAAAAATTAGGAATGGAGTAAAAAGAAGACATTGGTGAGGCAGGTAGTTCTGCAGTCTGGATACAGAAGAGAAGAGAAAGGAGATAAAAACATTTCTGTTCTGCATTTACTCAAAGGAAAGAAAGTAGGGGTCACAGTCACATAGCTCAGGCAGGCGTTTCCAGCACTGTAAAGCAGCTACTCCTGTCGGTTGCTGAGCCTAAGCCTCAGTCTCAATCTCAGGCCCCTGCACCTGTGGCATTCCAAGCTGGGGGTTAGGTATAGTTCCGACTCGCTCCTTGCAGCCTTGGCTCATCCCATCTCTGCCTCCTGCTGTCTTAGGACTCGGTCATCTCTTACACATCATGCAGCACAGAGCATAACAGAGTGTAAGGATCAGCTGAAGGGCTAAAAAATGTGTATCACCAGAAGCTAACTAAATCAAGACACTGCGCTAATAGTAGTAAAAGCAACAGCTAACATTTCCTAGGCACCAGGCCCAGCCTCCACATCTGCAAGTACGTGAGAACTGAGGCAAGCTACACTCCTTTGCCCATTTACTACCTTACCTTGAGAACGGCTCGCTTTTCTGTTGGATTCTGGACCAGAGAGTGGCCTTGGCATCCATTTCCCTAATGCATCGACAATGAGTGCTAACAGTCTGTACTTCTAAATGTATCCAGGATGCTTTAAAACACTTCCAAGAGGATGCTTTAAAACACTTCAAAGAGAAAGCATGTGCCCATGGGAACCAGCAAAAGGAGCAGGCAGGATCAGCTGCTGTACACTTATTTCCCTTTCTGGAAAAGGAGAGTCCAGGATGAGCCCAGCGAGGTCCTAAGCCCTGGTGAGCCACACTATAATAGGTTTCATGGCATTACCGCAGCGCCACCAATGACGAGGCTCCTTTCTTCATGGGCAAGAGCTTTGTCTACGCCAGACATGAACACACTCTTGCTCAAACCATAGACTAATACTGCCTGGCATTAAGAGAGAAGGCTGAGTCTGAGATACCCAAGAGAGGCCTAATGTAAGTTACCTAATTTAGGCTCTTCATTGTCTGCCCTACAGGGTGTCACTTAAAACTATTTAGGAAAAATATAAAGAATACACTTAAGAGTTTTCTTCTGAAAAAAAGAGGAAAGTATCTTCTATTCAGTTTGAACAAAAGATTAATAACTCAACTACTGGAGGACTCTAGTCCAGTTCAAGGAAGACTGCTCAGCTGAACGGCTAAAACTTAAAGCACTGATCTGAAATCTTCCCATCATTACCATCACCCTCTACAGCTGTGAATTTTAAGCTCATTTTAAAGGCAAGCCATGCCTATTTTACACAAATCTTCTTTTCAAGCTTTAAGCATTACAATTACGTTGTGTGGAATATATCCTTTCCCACTGCCAGCTCCTGATAGAAATCTTACTAAAGCAGGGGTGATTAATCCAAGATTGAGCTTATTTTTTTTCTCAGCTGACTGACTAATCTTAAAAGATGAAGCACAGACCTAGCAAGGCCATTCAGATGAACACATGCTGTTCAGGGCAGAGATATTAGAAGTAAAGGTCCAGACAGTTATCATTTGTCCTGCTCCTCTTGATTATTTATGAAGGACCAAAACACCTTTCTGAAAAGCCCAGTGGTTGTTCTGCTTTTGTATTCTCTATCTTGACCCAGAAACAATTGCTCTCAAGGGGAACTGAGACCACAATCAGAGCAAGCCTCCATCTGCCTCTAAGCACCCTTCTCATCACAGGCTGGGGGCTGGGAACCTATGCAGCACTCCCAGGGAGTTTGTGTATTCTCTGCTTTCTTTTCAGAATGTGAAAAATGTAGAGACTTATTCTGGAGTGGAACATACTCCGCATGCAAGGAAACATCAGCATTCCTGCCCTACTCAGCTCAAGATGCAGTGCCCAGTGCTGGGGCTGAGCAGCTGGCCTAGAGTTTACAGACTCAAGAAAACCTCCAGAAATCTACTCTAAAATAGAATCTGCTGCCCCATGCAAAGAAATAATATAGAGAAACAGCTGCTTTCTATGCAGGGGGATGTGTTTTGTGTGGGGTGGTGTATCTTCCCTCATAAGGTTGTTGTATTCCCAAGAAAAACGAAGAAAAATGAGTAAGAATTAAGAATTAAGTGGCTGCTTTCTTCAAAAAAAAAAAAAAATGTGTCCTATATTTCTGACGAAGTACTTAACAATTAAGATTTTTTTACAGTGACAATCTTAGAAGATAAGGAATGCTTGTTATTTTCAAGTCTTATTTGACATGGAGAAAACAGTGACAATCTGTACTCTACCTGCATCATCACTCCCACATTTTACTCCCTTTTGTGTGTGAGACCACAGGACAAACGGAAATATAGCTATTTGCCTTTAGTTGACGGCTTTGGAAGAATGGAAGTAAGAAGGGTTAGAGGGCAAAACATGAAGAGAATGGAGAAATTTTTTTAAAAAGTCAAGAACCCGGAAAACAGTGACTAACCAAGAGAGAGAGAGAGTGCCTTTCTTTTCTCCTGAGTCATACATCGAAACAAAAGAGGGAATTCAGAGAGAAATATTTTCTGCCAGAGCCTTGAAAGCAGGAATTATAGAGGGTCAAGGGAAAAACAAGTGCTATCTGGTGAAGAGCCCCTTCATCCATCCTGAGCAAAAGACAGCTCTGCACTGAGACATCCCAGGACTGATCCAGGCTGCGGGGCTGTGCCAGGCTACATGCTTTGCCACAAGGCATCAGTTTAAACCAATTGTGTGGCTGCACAAAGCAGAGCTTGTTTGTAAAAGGAGAGAGTCAGTTGAGAATGGAATCAGCTATTCTCCCTTTACCTTCTTAGAGTCCGGGGCAGGGCCTAGCATGCAGGAAGCTGCTAAACGTATCAACCTAGGACACGGGTACACAGCTGGGATGTTGAAGGTCCCTGGAAATCACCAAGGCAAGAAAGACAAGTGTTCCCTTTGGCCAGCTCATTAAGGTCTGACCACCTCTGGACTGGACTCACTGCCCTGTGTAACTGGGAGTAACAGTGAGTCAATAACCATCAGAAGTACTTGACTCCTATCTAAGAAAACACTTTCAAACATATCTTTAATTGAAGAGGTTTTTCTTGTCTTCTTGGGTTGTTGGCTGTTTTCCTGAAGGCTCTGGCAGAATCAGTGCAAAACAAAGCAAAACCTCTTCCAATGTAGTGGGACTCTATCCACTAAAGAAGCAGCCACAAATCTACCTTACCTTCCTGGTGACAGCTGGATCGAGATAGCCTTTGAGCTTCTGAATATACGTGTGGGGAGGATTCTTCACCTGGAATCGTTCCTGCAGGAAGCACAAAAGTGAACAACATGAAAAGTACGAAGGCTTGAGACGGGCACAACAGATTCACGTCACTGACCCAGGTCTAAAATGTCTCCTCAGTATGAACGTGACCCTGCAGTGTGTAATAATCATTACACACTAACTGTTCTGAATCTTTAAAGCAGATTACGTGATCCTCCCCTGTACAGGATGAAACTGAAGATCAAAAAAAATACAGCCCCTCCCCCAGGTAACACAGCCAGTCAGTGGCCTGCGGGCATTTGGGTCGCTGTCTGTCCAGCTCCAGAGTCTGGGCTGCTTTCTCTGTAGGGCTGCAGCACCCTCTTTAGAAATCATGACTTGTTCAACCTGTTTCAGGTCATCTTTTACCACACAGTAGTTGAGATCCTTCAATGTTGGTAAATCTTTCATTTTTTGTAATTTAGTATTTGGATAGTTTCAAAGATGTGACTCAAACTAGATAAAACTAAGATGAATAATTGGTGTATTGCTAAGAGAATGGAATGTGGGAGCGTGTGAGTGTGCACACATGCATGTATGTGATTACTGATGGGTTCCTAAAGCGGGTCCAAGTTAGAAAATCCTCTATTATTTTGAACAGGTATATACAGGCACAGTTTTATAGTGTATATACAATGAGAGATAATACAAAAAATCATGATTGGAGGACCGATGTAGAGAAGGGTTGTAATCCAGAAGACAAATATAGTAAGTATACTCCCGAGAAGTGGACAATGTGACATTTTTGGATCTCAGTAGCTACAGAGGAGCTGGGTTTATACAGCTTACCTCACTAGTTCTTAGGAGTCACAACTGTGTAGGGGTGGGGTAGGTGTATACCATATTTTGCCAAAAAGAAAGGTTAACTAGTTTTAAAAGAAAGAGTTGTCATTTAATCAGTTCTAAAACGAAAAAAAAAACAATGCCATGAAATAAGAATGATTTAAGATTTTCAGTATACTTAGAATCTATGCTTTCATGATTCTATGTTCTTTTCTACACGCAACCCAAAAGGTGTTTTCCTAGCAATCTCTTTAAACTGACTGTGCTTTTTCCACAATGGAATTTTTTGGTATTTCACAACAATGATAAACTAATATGATTCACCATTTGTCTATCCCATATAACCTGGTACTTCTCCAACACTCAGAGTCATCCTCACTTGATTACAAATTTAAAAATGCTAAGGATCATCTTATTAGACCTGAAAAGAACATGCTATTGAAGTATTCCTGAAAAAAATATTTTAACACTTTATAAAAGGGCGAAGTTTGTATACCTATTAAAACATCTATTAAACGCCTATTAAAATTTCCAGCCAGGCATGGTGGCACATGCCTGAATTTCCAGCACTCTGGGAGGCTCAGGCAAAAGCACAAGTCACAGCCCAGCTGAGCAACTTAGCAAGACTGCATCAAAGTTTAACAAAAGTCAAAAGGAAGCAGTGCAAAACAAAGCAAAACCCCTTCCAATGTAGTGGGACTCTATCCACTAAAGAAGCAGCCACTAGGATGTACGTGAGTATAATCTCACATACCACAAATACAGTAATTATTATTACTATTACCATTTCCCTTTATTTAAATATAACTGGGGTAACTTGACAATAGATAAACTGCATCTCAAAAAAAAAAGCTACTGAAGAGAGCAACATACAGTTAATTATTCCCAAATTTTCTACCCTGAGAGCAATTTCTAAGCAACAATTTACAAGCAGTCAACATGTCTAGTACTGTGACTGTGTATGAAGTCATTTTAATACTACTTTATTTAGAGATCAGAGGTGATCTTGTCCTCAGAGATTTAGCATTAGTCTAGGTGAAGCCTAACATAATCTCAAAAAGCACTAAAAAATGAACCCTTAAGCCATTCATGATTGCCAACTTTATGATGACAAAAGCTGATATTAGAGAGCTATTGGGATATTAATTAAAGGTATGCTTTCTAATAATACAATTCTAATTATTCAAATTTTTAAAATCCAGTTATGATTTAAGCTGTGCTCCTTTTTACTATTGCAAATATAGTTATACTATTCAGTTGTTGAATTCAATTCAATTCAAATTCATGTTCAAACACTGAAAAGTCTGAGAACTAAACATATTTTTCCCATAAGAAATAATAGTAGTAGCGGCTTCATCTGAGCCTTCCTCCTGCATGTGGGAACGTTTTCCTGCTCACAAATGCTTCACACCCACAATCCTCCAAAGACTGAACACCATGCCTTCAATTCAGCTGCAGCGTTCTGAGGGCGAGGTATCTGAAGTTGATGAAATTGCCACACAATCTGTGCTTATCAAGACCATGTTTGGCGATTTGGGAATGATGATGGAGATGATGATCCAGTTCCTCCACCAAACACTAATGCAGTGATACTAAAAAAAAATAACACCATTCAGTGGTGCACCCATCACAAAGATGACCTTTCCTCTTGAGAATGATGAGAACAAAGAAAAGTAAACAGATGATATCCCTGTCTGGGACAAAGAATTCCTGAAAATTGATCAAGGAACCCTTTTTGAACTTATAGTGGCAGCAAACTACCTGAACATCAAAGGTTTGCTTGATGTTACATGCAAGACTGATGCCAATATGATCAAGGGGAAAATCCCTGAGGACATTTGCGAGACTTTCAATGTCCAAAATGTCTTTACTGAAGAGGAGGAGGGAGCCCAGGTACCCAAGGAGAACCAGTGGTGCCAAGAGAAGTAAAATGTTGTGCAGGACACTAACACTATAAGGATTGTTGCAAATACTAGTTGCACTGCTGTTTGTAATTGTTTATACGAATGTGTTGCAGCAGCAAGTCAACTTGTATTAGCAGAATACTGTGCTCACCGCATGTGTGTAATCTGAGTACAGATTCCACACTAATAGTTGAATTACTTCTACTCTGAACAAAAGTTGCAGCTTTTCTTTACTCTGAATAAAAACTCAACTTTGGGTTCTTCACAGAAAGCTGACAATTTGTAAAGTGATTTCTTTTTGTAAAGTGATTTCTACCTATTTATTACTCAGTGAGCTTTTAAAAGTTGGCACTGTGAATAAAACACCTTGCAACAAGTTTTTTGAAATAGAATTAACAAAATATTATATGATATTCAGAAACTGGGAAAAGGCTACTTGAAGTAACTGTTCCCAGTAGGGCTGCTCAGACATCTCCCTGCCTCCCAAAGTCAACCAGTGTCACTGGTGTAGATTAGCCTGTCTGTTGCAGGGCTCCCTTAGGGTGAATCTGAAAACTTGTTTTGTTTTTAAATTTTTAATCTTCTCTACTTTGAATATGTTGCCAAGAGACTCAGTAACTACCAAGTTTATGGTTTATAAGAGAAATGTTAGGCATGTTTATCACACTGATGTATTTACATGACAAAGACGCCCAGAGTCTTAAAATACAGCTGCTGTTCCACATGGTATCTCTTTATAAGGAATCTCAGCCTAGCCAGGCCTGGTGGCACACACCTATAATCCCAGCATTGGGGAGGCCGAGGCAGGAGAACTGCTAGGAGGTCAACTGCCAGTTTGGACTACACAGTGAGAACCTGTCTCAAAAAAAGAAAAGTAAGCAGGGACACCTTTTGACTTGGATCCTGCCCTAAATCATAGATCCTGTAAGAAAACCACATATTCGAATTCACAGAGAAATTTCTTTTTGTTCCTTGTGGCTTTGTTTTGTTTTGTTTTCTCACTCCTTTCCTGTCTTCTTCACCTGTTTATTGAAGTTTGTGGAATTTTCCTGTGTCTTATCTTTTTTTCATATTTTTATTTGATTTTTTCCCATTCTTCCTTAATTTTCTCCTTTTTATTTTTTCTGTTACTTTTAGTCCCCATTATAATTTTTTCTTTTATCATCTATTTCTTGCTAGTTTTTTCTCTTACATTTACACAATTCTGTAAACATCCTTCTACTCCCCAATAGAATCTTTTATATCATTTCTCTCTCCTTTCTCGTATCATATAAAGTATCAATTTTTCCTTTTGTATTCTCTCATTCCCAAACTCTATATCTTTAATAGTATAACCATAAAGCTTTATTGATCTTTCAATAATTCATTAATTCTGAAAATTTTTGTTGAATTCGTTTCTACTATTGGCAGAGATACAGCCATCACAGTTAGTACATATTAGCTTTAAATCAATACTTGGATGGTCTTATTATTTACACCATAATTGTAGATTTCTTCTCTATGGTTGAGGGTGATACACAGTTGGTTTTATGGCATATTAGTATCCAGTTTGTCTGGGACAATACTACTGCAGCTGACTTGCTTGATATTACCAGGACTGCATTACTGGTATTATTTCTCTGTAAGCCAACACACAGATTACTGTCAATACTAGAGTACATTCCCAGAGAATTCTGTATCAGGTGAATTACACCACATTCTTCCCTCCTAAATTAACCAAAGTGGTTGGATCTTGGTGCTGAGCCAAAGACTGTAAATAAACACGTCCAAATTACTGTACTTCACTGAAAAGCAACTAAAGAGATCTCTATACTAACAATAGTCTTTACACTATAAATGTCCGCAAGCCTCAACACAAAATGACCAATAATTAAATACCTTGAATGATGCTCAACATGACTGGTAAGTATATTAATTTAATAAGGCCTCAACTTCAGATACATCAAATAAAAATACTGATGAAAAAAAAATTCTTTAGTCATGGTGACTTATTAGAACAAATAACAAGCCATCAAAAAGACACATTTTTAAAGTACAAAGTTCCTTCAAAATGTCTAATCACACAATATCACCACCCTGATCTTCTACCACTTATTTCTCTATATGATCAAATTACCTTCAGGAAATGTTTAGGGATGGAAAATATCAATTGCTTGTTTGTTTGTTTTTAACCATTCCCAAAGCATTTTTTAAAAGACCCCAAATTCATGTAGTATTAACATTCAGAAACCAGGCCAACAAACTGCGATGGGAGGAGCATAGAGAGTGGATGAGAAATAACCTTAGAACACAGAGTCATCACTAAGCTTCTCC